CCCGCCCTCAGCCGGTCCCGCCCTCAGCCGGTCCCGCCCTCAGCCGGGCCCGCCCTCAGCCGGTCCCGCCCTCAGCCAAGATGGCGCCGGCGGCCTCAGGCGGCGGTGCCGCTCCGCGCCCCCCCCCGGTGCTGCTGCTGCTGCTGCCGGGGCTGGCGGCCGGTCCCGCCGGGATGCTGCAGCCCCGGGACACCCCGTCCCGCGAGCGCAGGGAGCTCGGCGGCCTCTGGAGCTTCCGCGCCGATCTGTCTCCGGGCAGGGACGCCGGGTTCGCGCAGCGCTGGTACCGGCGGCCGCTCCGGCAGGTAGCGGGGCGGGCGCTGCCATCCCCGGGCACGAACCGGGCCCGCTGTGGGGCTCCGCTTCTTTCTTCTCTTCCTCTTTCCCTGCCTTATCCCCCACCGGGCTCGGGCCCGCTGTGGGGCTCCGCTTCTTTCTTCTCTTCCTCTTTCCCTGCCTTATCCCCCACCGGGCTGGCGGAGCCGCTGCCGTTCGCCCCACGGTGCTGGCCCTGCCCCGGTTGTTCTTGATGCAGTTCCTAATTAGCCCTGCCGCGGTTGTTCTTGATGCAGTTCCTAATTAGCCCTGCCGCAGTTGTTCTTGAGGCAGTTCCTAATTAGCTGATGCCCCTGGTGATGCTCCGAAGGCAGGCAGCGTTTGAATGAGCCCCATTCACCTCCAGGTGTCCCGTGCTGCCGGAGCCTGGCGCAGCGCTGAGCTTCCAGAAGCACAGAATCAGCAAAAGTGTGCCTGTAAGGGCACTGGGAATTGTTTATTCCAAAGCTTCAGAGTGTTGGTAGAAAAGTTTTGATGTGTGGTTGGGATCTGCGTGGAATTTAACGGCATTAGCTGGTAGAAAAGAGTTATGGATTTTATGTATTAAAATGGATAAGTTGTTCATTATTTCTGTTTTTAGCCTTTTGGCTGATTTTGTTGCTGGATTGTGGAATGATGCATGGCTGGGTTTGCAATCCACTGTGCTGCTGGAAGCTTTGCAGAGGAGAGGAATCCTGAAATATGCCCCTTCAGAGAGAGGATTAGATGAGTGCACTCCACCTGTTTTAGAGCTCAGAGAATCTCCCTGAAGGACACACAGATTCTGGCCAGCACAGGCAAGGGTTTTCCTGCATCAGATACCAGAAACTCCTCTTTTCTGTCCAAGGATCTTCCCACTAGGATTTTCTGATGAGGGCCAGTGCTGAGTCAGCCATGCACATGATGCCCACCCTGGGTGCCCGGACCTTCCTCATTCCATTTCCTGAGGCTTCCTCAGGAAAGGAGAAGCTGCAGAACTGCTTTGTGCAACATCCTGAGTGCAGAAAGTGCTGAAAATGAACGGCTCTGTTTGGCAACAGCCCCTGGATTCCTCAACATTCAGTGTACTGCGACACTGCCTCCCTCTCATCTTCACACTGGAATAAGCAACTGAATGGATTCTGTTGTAATCCCAAGGAATCTCTGTTGCTTTCACGAAGTGAGGAGTGCTGAGCTGATCCCAGATAGTTTCCACAGGGAGAAAAATGTCCCAAAACATCCATTACTGCCCAAAACATCCATTATTTTGTTACACTTTTACTACATCTCTTAGCTGACAAACAGCACCACATGTGCATTGTCTCTGGCACATTGTCCTGGAGTTGTGCAGGAGAAAATTCCCACTGAAACAACAACCTGGGCTTGGGTTTTTCCCTCCTCACTTCTCTGATTCCGTGACTCCAGAGCTATTAATAAAAACATTTCATTGTACAGCAGGAGTGGAAAAGAAAGGAGCAGCTTCTTCCCGTAGGATCTCGGCAGTTTTTAAACAGATTTTCCCAAGTATTTCCCCTTGGCAAAGGCATTGTAAGGCTGTTAGTGGAAGGGGGACACCTCCAGTCGTAAAATTCCTCTTTTTAAAATCTCTGTTCTTTCCTTTTGCACGCAATTCCTGCCAGACCGGCCCTGTGATTGACATGCCGGTGCCTGCCAGCTTCAACGACATCACTCAGGACCCCAGCCTGGAGAATTACATCGGCTGGGTGTGGTACGAGAAGGAGGTGCTGCTCCCCCTGCGCTGGCTGCGGGGCGAGCCCGCCCCCAGGGTGGTGCTGCGCTTTGGGAGTGCCCATTACTACTCCATCGTGGTACGTGCCTCGGGGGCTTGGCCCTGTGCTTCCTAAATTAGGCTGGACTAAAAGAAAACGCGTCCCTGCCTCGGTTTTGCATCCCCTTCCGAGCTCGTGCCTGTTTTCCCCCCAGCAAGGAGGAATTTCAGTTTCTCTTCTCCGATCCTGCAGTTTTAGGATTTTGGTAACTGTGAAAAACGCCAATCACTTGGTTTTTAAAATTTTTAAAACCTTAATAATGATAAAATGGTTATAAAAATAGTAATACAATTAGAGTAATAAAATTTAGAGTTAGGACAGTTATAAGAGAATAAAAAGCAAAGAATTATGGATATCTGGATGCTCTCGAACACTAAGTCACAAAAAGCATCCCTTGTGAAGAAAGGAATACCCTTAAAAGCAACAGCCTCTTGCATATTCATATATCTCATACATGATGCATAAATTCATTGCAAATTAAGAACTTTTTTTGGTTTTGTCAACTTCTTAATCTTGGTGGTTCCAAAAGGATAGAGAGAAGGTGGAAGAATTTTTGTCTTTTCTGATAAGGAGGTGGTAACTTTTTATGGGCCCCCTTTGCTGACATTTTTGTGTGAAGAGTTTATTGATTATCTCATCTTCCTGCTTGAGCTTGTAACAAATCCTATATCACAGAGTTTCTCTTTTAACATTATGTTGTAAGCTAAAACTACATTTAACACACTACTTAAGAGAATTAATACAGCATAACTTTCTAACATTACACATTATAATATTCATCGTAACATTTGTGAAAAGCCAATCATAAAATATGCATTTTTCACAGTAACTAAACATTTCCTGATGAATGGATCTGCCCCACACTGTGTCCCTCAGTGACACTTGATGTGACCCAGACCTAGCTCCCAGCAAAGGGATATCCCTCAAAGATCAAGGTTGATCCCTCAAAGATCCTTTGAGGATCAAGAGCCAGGTGTTGTTACTGGGCTTCCCTTCCCTGTGCTCTGCTGACCCCAAAATCCCAATGAGCCATTTTTTGTGTCTTTCCTTGCAGTGGGTGAACGGGGTGCAGGTGGTGGAACACGAAGGGGGGCACCTGCCCTTTGAGGCTGACATCAGCAGCGTGGTGCAGGGCAGCCCAGGCACCCTGTGCCGCATCACTGTGGCCCTCAACAACACCCTGACTCCCCACACGCTGCCCCCGGGCTCCATCCAGTACATGACTGACAAATCAAGGTGAGTTCTGGCGTGTTTTACTGCTGGGCTCATCCCAGGGCTGTGGGAGAGGGGGACTTTGTTCAGCTGCTGTTTCAGAAATCCCTGCACGGGGTTGTCTTTATGGTGGATTTGTCGGTGGAGCTGTGAGGAGTTTAAGCTGTGGTGTTGTGGGGAATCTGCAGTGAGATATTGCATCTG